TTATAATAATTTGATATTCCCGTGTATCAGCAAGCTCTAAGCTGATGATGATGATGATGCTGCTCCCCCCCACATCCCAGCTATATAACTAGCAATGATGAAAATAACCCACGGTGGCGTCGTGTCCGCAGGATGCAACAACAGAGTCATGAATGAATGTTCATTCATTCAGAACCACCAACCACCTCCGAATACTAGTGAAAAGTACTTGAACAAGGTGATACGTGTGGAACACCCACACTCACTGGCAGCCAAAGAAACTTGAAGCAGATGAAAGATTCAAATCACAAACGCCCCAGCTGTTACTGGACGAACGAGAGAATGAGCTTACTTTATGAGTAAAGGTTCCCAGTTTCGATGCTGTGCCATCGACTCATTCATTCTGCCGTCCCGTACTTCGCCTCCTTATATCATGAGCCCCCAACCAACCAGACTCTGTGGTGCAACACCACTCCTGAGTAGTGGACTCTTCCCGTATGTATGAACAAGTCGGTGGCAGCTGAGGTGGCCAGCCTCGTCACTTCATCTTCCCTCTCCTGGTGATGATGTACAAGATTAAATAAAACTAAATTTGATCCATCCCATTTTTCCATTCGTGCATCTCCCCGTTCGTCTATTCTCCCAACTCCACATAGTATACTAGAAGTATTTGATGAGTAGTGAGTCTCCGTACTCCGTACATACACAATGCATCCATCGTTAACAACCCTACTAATGGTGTGAGGCAAATTCCACCAGATCGACTGGAAACAAGCGCCATTCTCAGTCTTTCTCTGACTCTTTTTCTTTTTCTGTCTGGTCTTATCGCTCCCCCAACCTCGCCCTTGCTGAACAAACGAACCAACACTGATGCCTTACTGGGCCACAGCCATGTTCTGGCACTGCCTTGCCGGCAATTGACTTGCAGCTCGGGTCTTCAGTTTTGTTCCGGGATTGGATGTGATGGCTACACAGGGCTCCCGGCTGATCTTGATCTACTTAACACATCGGTGGCCTCTCTCTATCCCTCCCCCTCTCCTCTGTTTCTGCCTTTTTGTCTCTTTCCTTGTCTGAAAATGGCTATGTGATCCATTCTTGGGCTGCTCCAGGCCAGCTGTCACACCACATGGGGGGTGGGTTGTCTTTTTAGGTCCTTACATGATGTGTCTTTATGTCATCGCAGCCTAGACTGGCCAAATAGCCAACAATCCAAAGCAAGTCACTCCAAGTCAAAGCAAATCACTGACAGCCGGATCGAAGATGCCGATCGTGAGGACCGATCATGAGAACGCGGATCATCCATCTAGGTAGCTTATTTGCTTTTTTTATCAATCTTCTCACTGTCCCTCTTCCAAGGCAAGACTTGTCACCTTTCGCCTCCCGTCCTGTGAGGGGTTTGTCAGTGGATGGTAGATCCAACGCCTCTGATTGCTTCCAATTCGTTTGAACCTGTACAGAGAGTTGCATTCCTCCATCCCTCCCAATTGACTAGATAGATAGTACAACTGCTGCAGCTGCTGCGTACCCCCAAACCAAGTAGATGAAGTCAAATCGGATGTAGATGGACAGATCCGAGGCGGGGCACGACAACCGGCTTCTCATCAAACGACTGTACTACTGTTACAAACTGGCCAGATGCCGACGCGACAAGCTGTCATCGGTAGAACAATGATGTCTTTTCTAGAGGCTACTTGGAGCACACAGTGGCCCGGCAGTCACGCCTCTGTGTAACCGGGAGTGTTACACTTCAGGGTACTGTGTACGAGGGTATCTTCTGCAAAGGTGGGCATGGGCCAGGAATCCGGAGATACTGCCATGCTGGGGGGGGGGGTTAATCCGATAGATGCTTGATGAAGAGTTCAGGAGGTGACGGGGAAAGGAGGAAGGGCGTTGCGAGCCGTATTGTTAGTTAGTAAATGAGTCTTACATCTGAGTAAGACACGGAGTAAGACAATCAACTAGTTAATTAGTTAGCTAGCTAGTGACACTTCCTGAAGGAGTAACTAACTCGTTAACGGGTTTTGAGATCAGGAACCGAGCCAGTGATCCGTCTATTTAATCCGAGTACGAGACAGAGAGGCCATGGTGGTTAGCAGGTGACTACTTACTATTCCCGAGTCACTCACTCACTAACTCACCCTTCATCTAATCACACACTCAAACCCCGAGTGAAGGAAGCTAACGAGGCTGACGGATGCGAATCTGGCGTGAAGAAAAGCAAAGCAGACCAATGATGACAGGGAGAGGAATGCACCGATCCAATGCATTGCTGATCGGAGATTACACGATAATCTCAGGTCATTGGACCAAGCCATGTTCTAGTTGAGACTTTAGCCCATGAGAAGGAAGGAATCCATCAAATGCATGGATGACCCGGCGGGCACATCCTGCAACTTGTTCGTCCACTGGGACTGATTTCCCACATTCCACTACTACTATCCCAGTAAGTCAATACCTACATAGAGTTGTTTACAGGCATATGCTATATCTATCAGTATCATAGGTAGCTAGCTGTCCTTGGGTTGCTGGATGGCTGGACCGAAATGTATGGAACCGGGAAATGACACTAGCAAAAGAGAGTTTGGAACCAAGACGAGATTTCTGCATTGTTTTTCCATCCCGAAACTCCGCCGGGCGGCCAGCCCCCAAACTGCCACCAATGGATTACCCCGGCGCTGCTGCTGCTACTGACTGCTACTGCTGTCTTCTGTCGCTCTCGGGGACTTTTTTTCTGGTCTTTGATTTTTCGCCCATTCTTCTGCCCTTCAAGTGAGGGGAATCTGCATTGCGATAACGTGAGAGACACTGTCAGAGAGAATAAGAAGGAAGGGGGCAGAAAGAATATTAAAAAGAAAAAAAAGGAAAAAAAGGAAAAAAAGGAAAATTGAAAAACTATTGCTTTGCTGCTCACACCATCGTTTTATTATAAACTCCCGTTGAGCCTAGTCTCCTTCTTCATCGCCGCCTTCGTTTTCCCATCTTTTTTTTTCCTCTCGTACTTTTCCTCGCTTTACCTTTTTTCCACTTCCCCAAACCTCCGTTGCGGTCTCAATTCCCCATTAATCTCAACCAGCAACATTCCAAGAGAGGAATATAGTTGCAGGTATAATTCCAAGGATTGAGAAAAGCTCTGCTTCGGGATTCCTCTATAATCTTGCACCATCACCCATCAATCAATTCGCATCATGTCGGATCCTATCCAGGTTGCCGGGAAGAGAAAGCGTGCCAGTACGTTCCCTCCCCCCAATTGCAATTTAATCCCGCGGTTCGCTCTTCAATCGCTCGCTGCTTTTCCCTGCGTTTCCCTGCTTTTCTCCCCCCCAAACTTCTCAGCCTTGCTGTCATCTCATGTACAGCCGGTGACAACCTCGTGCTATTCCCCGCCTGATTTTTCTTATCGCCAACGCGGGAGATCAACATTCCTTTTTTTTTTCTCTCTCTTACTTTTTCTTCACGGCTGTCTTTCTTTGTCTTCGCAAACTCATCATTCATCATCTGATGGGTTAATTCCCTGCATCGCTATTCTTTCTACGTTGTTTGTCACTTCCACAATCACCGTTTTTCCTATTCTGTCTCTGTGATACGCCCTGTCTGTCGCATCACCCAGTGTCCAGCTTCATCTCAGCTTCACAATCTTCAACCGACCGCGTGGATTTGTCTTTTTTTGCTATCACCATCAAAAATGGTTGCTGACTCGACTGAACCTGCAGGGACGCAATCCTGCCCGCCTCCCGAATTGCCCCAGCTCGTTGCGGAACAGCACACTCCCATCCCTGCTCATGACAAGGAGACCCAGCGTCTGATTGTCGTTCTCTCCCATGCCAGCTTGGAAACCTACCGGGCTTCCAGCGGACGCAATGGCTCCGGTCGTGATGAGAAGTACTCCCTGCTCAACAGCGATGAGCACATTGGTGTCATGCGTAAGATGAACCGGGATATCAGTGAAGCTCGCCCGGATATCACACATCAGGTTAGTTGCTCTGTCTGGGATAGCCAGCAATGGTTTGGTGGCTTGTTGCTAATGATAAATGCTCCTTAGTGCCTGCTCACCCTGCTCGACTCTCCCGTGAACAAGGCGGGTAAGCTGCAGATCTTCATCCACACTGCCAAGGGTGTCTTGATCGAAGTGAACCCGAGCGTGCGCATTCCTCGTACCTTCAAGCGATTCGCTGGTTTGATGGTGCAGCTGCTGCACCGCCTCTCCATCCGTTCCACCAACTCCCAGGAGAAGCTCCTGAAGGTCATCAAGAACCCCATCACCGACCACCTTCCCCCCAACTGCCGCAAGGTGACCCTCAGTTTCGAAGCCCCCGTGGTGCGCACTCGCGACTACATCGAATCGCTGGGCCCCAAGGAGAGCGTCTGTATCTTCGTGGGTGCCATGGCCAAGGGACATGATGACTTTGCCGACTCCTTCAAGGACGACACGATTTCCATCAGTAACTACAGCTTGAGTGCCAGTGTCGCATGCAGCAAGTTCTGCCATGCCGCCGAGGAGGTGTGGGACATTGTCTGAGCGCAGGACCTCGGACGCTCCTATCCCGCTTCTCAGGAATGGCCAAAGCTTGACGAGGTGACGAATTTCCTTGCGCCCATACATCTGAAATGGTACGATCGAGAAACGGTCAGCGGGTCCTAGCTCGGGGACAAACCTGTCTTCCGCGCGTTGTTCGCGTATTCTCTCTGCCTTGGGTGTATTTGCATCGCTTGCTGTTCTCTGCACGTCTTGATGGGTTTTCGTGTCTGTTTTCTTGCGCCTCGCGTCGCGGTCGCCGCTAGACTGCTGGATGCGATATCTGGAAACTAAGATCGCCTCATTTATTTGGACCCCGTGATGAACTGGCAGGCCCTCTTTGCTTCGGCGGGCCTGCGCCGGTGGGTAGGTGTCACGGCACGACCCACCGGCCCCCAGTTTCTTCTGATAGATCCCTCTGTTTTGAGTTCTGCAGGTTCGAATGCCTCGACGAGGATCTGGGTTCTTTTCTTCCAAATATCTAGGTGGGTGTGATCTAATCACTGTAATCTGCAACACCCCATCCGGGGTGTTGTACACTTGTTGCAGTCTCGCATGCGAGATCTTATCTATATAGCAGCACGAATACACCAGATACATTTACCATCGAGGCACAACCATGGACACGGAGGTCTGACACCCGCCGTTCAGCCCCTGCCCAGATACTCGATCCTACTTCCTCCCCCCCTTTGTCTTCCCTTACAGACTTTGATGATCCTAAATGGTCCTCTGATCGGATCACTAGTATCGAGTAGAATACCTGTCAGTAGTAGACCCAGCCGTAGATGCCCGTAGCCACAGGGAGAGGGGCTCCCTGGAGACCCGGAAATTCAGATGGAAGCTGGTGGCCCTTGCGCTGGTGACGTTCACTGTGTGATGGTGCCAATGAGCCAATTGGCCAGATGACTTGAACCGGTCGGACCATGAGGATGGTCGGAATCATCTGGAGGCACGAGAGTGACCTTAGAAGCAGGAAAGAAGCAGAACAAGTGGGAAACCCAGCGAACAGAAGGAGAGGGAGGGGCTGCACATGATGAGGAGGGGAAGAGTGGGTTTGTGCCTGAGGCCGGCCCCGCCAGTGTCTCTCCCCGACTTTTTGACTCACTTTCCCTTTTCTCTCTTTCTCTGTCGATACTCTCTATACTTCCCATCCTTTTCTCCCTCGTCTTTCTTCTCTCTTCCTTCTCGGGTGAGAGACGGGAATCCTGACTATCGCTGACTCACACCTTTGAGCTCTTGGAATTTGTCAGGGGAGTCTTTGCTCGCTCCCAAAGTAGCACTAGCAACAGTATTGATGGGCAGGTCAATCGGGTGGTCCCGGTGGCTGGGGACGGAGTCTCCTGTTCGACGTGGCATGCAGCCATCGCAGCAAGTGGATCGCCCACTGGGTTCGAATGGATAACTCCGTACATGAAACCAATGGACCATCTCAATCATCCATCTAGTCATTTGACGACGCTACAAACACCGATGATGCTGTTGGCTGATGAGCCATCCCATCCACTTCCGGCGAGAAACGGATATCACCCTATACCACCAACTAACTCCATGATGACGGTTTTCACCTCCTTTTCTTCGTCATTTTCCGGAAAGAATCTTGATTCTAGATGCTCCTATACGGAATATACCTTTCTTTTTGTCGTGCCGGGAGGGAATGATCCACGCCGCAGCATCGCCGGACTGGAGGAACATCTGGCGGTCAGATCGCACCGGCCGACGACTAACAGCAGCAAATGTGCCCGAAGCAGGAACAAAACCCCCCCATCGGTCAAGCAGATTTGCCCCTCAGTGGCTCCCCTCCTTCTCTCCCTATTATTTTTCCTCAACACGGCTGCTTGCTGACATGCCCGTATGCGGTTCGTTGTTCCCTCGTGATTGGCGACATCCCCAAGGCGTTTGTCTGATGTCCAATCCTGGGCCCTAGCCGAGTGAGCCCGTCGTTACAATCAATGATTTAGGTTAGGTCTTCAAGAAAGTCAAGGGAATTTCCCCCCAATCCCTTCTTTGACGCCGGTCTACGCACCTGTCGCGGTTTCAGCGTCTGTTTTTCGTTTGGTAGCTGCCGTCTCCACCACTGCCAATCCCCTTCATCCACCTTGTCCTGGACCCTCTCGCCTCACTCAAGTTCCCTTTTGGACAAGATGCTGCTGTCTACCCTTGGCTCCTGCGTAGTCCCCACCGTTTTCTGATAGGCGCCCCGTCCGCCGCGACAGGGCCACCTACAGCACCGTCCGCCAGTCTTTCCCCACGATGACCTGGCGGCCATCTTGAGAGTTTTCGTACCCCTCGATATTAGCTTCACCGAAAAAATAACATCATGGGTCGTCTGAGTATGTGTCAGAGTGGGTGGCGGCCTTGCGATAGCACCCTCCGAGCCTATCCCCTTTGGCAACTTCCTGCAGACTGAGCCTAGACGATGTTGATGCCTCGTGGATTATACTGGGCATCGTTCGGATGCCGTGCGAGTCTATGCAAGCCTGCCTGCGATAACCGGCCTAGTCTAGTCGTGCTCCACGGTTGGAACAACTGGTCGAGTTTCCATGATAATTTGCTCCCCCCTGTAAGCTTCTGACCGCTCGTGATTGGATCCCAAGTTGGGCATTTCGGGGGCATACTCCTGAAGTCCTAAGGTTGGCCTGCATCTTGCCTTGAAATACTAGTGCTGCTTCTCGCCGGCTTCTCTCCATTCCTCCCTCATGATTTCATGGGTCTCTCCTATCTACCTCTCCAGTCTTGGTGTATATATATCCTCCTGTTCTCTTACTCGCTTCTGAGTCTGCAATCGACTTTTTGATCTCTCCTGTTGGTGGATCTCTCTCCATCTGAGATCTACTATTTATCTTGTCTCGCTGCTCCCCCTCCATACCTCTTTTTTCTTCCCCTGACTTCACCTCTCTATACCACGACTCGCAAAGGGATATACCCAGCGAGTCCACACAGACATGCCCGTCTCTCACCTCACCCTGACGGTTGCTCACCTGCCTACCTCCACATCTTTCTTTCTTTCCTGCCTACAACCTCTGGGGTACCAATTCATTGGACGTCACGATGACTACATTGGTTTCGGTCAAAAGACCGGCGAGCCCGCAGATTTCTGGATCACGGAACAAAAACCAGGGTATGTTTCCGTCAATGCTACTTTGATTCGTGTTACGAGAACTAACTGTGACCTTGCAGCGTACCTGCAGGTGCCGCTCATGTCGCCTTCCCTGCAGCATCCAAGGATGCTGTGAGCACCTTCTTTATCAATGCCCTCAAGGCAGGAGGCAAGATTCATGGCGAGCCTAAGCAACGCGACTCCGACTCTGGTTACTACAGCGCCGCCGTCATCGACTTTGATGGCAACAGCATTGAGGCAGTATACCGCCCTAGCATCTCATCAGCCCGCTCAGAGGTCCGGTCCGTGGCCAAGTCCGTGGCCAAGTCGGAAGCCAGATCTGAAGCCAGGTCTGAGCTCACTAGGCCAGCCCTGGCTTTGCTCGAGAACGGCTCGGTTGTATCGAAGGCGAGCAGCAAGGCCAGCTCCATCCGTCCCGAGAGCGTTGCGCCTCCCAAGTCTGAAGCTCGCTCGTACGTTTCCAGGTCCTCGACGGCCGTGGACAGAGCGCCTCCCCCGTACGAGCGCGCGCCGTCCACCATCAGCGTTAGCCGTGAATCCCAGCAGCCTCGCGAGATGCAGCCGGCCCCGTCGCCCACGTATATTGTGCACCACACGACTCACACCACCACTCAGCAGAAGACTGACGATGGTAAGACGGCCAAGACCATTGTCGGTACCCTGATTGGCGCTGCTGCTGGCGCTGCACTCGCATATGCCATGACCAAGTCCGACTCCTCAGAACAACATTCCGACGGCAGTACCCCTCCCCCGCAGTATTCGCCCCGGGACATTGTCCAGATGCTCTCCCCGTCCCAAGCACCCTCCCAAGCTCAGGAAGAATACCCTGGCTACAAGGCCATCGAGGCTCCTCCTCCGCGGAGCGTTTATTCTTCTCGGTCGGATGCCCGCCCGGGCCTCACCCGCAGTGTTACCTCGAAGAACCCTCGCGCAGACACCATCTACGAGGGCACGGAGTTTGTTCCACGCGGTGGCAGCGTCTACCTCGATGAGAATGGCCGTCGGGCCTCCGAGGGCAGCGTGTACACCACCAAGGATATCCCCCTGCGGGCGATCGAGTATGCCCCGCCGGCCGATTCCCGTGGCTACCAGAGCACCCTGGTCAGCAGCTTCCGTGAGGACAAGTCGCGGGCGATGGATGGTGGCAGTGTCTACTCATCCGCCACGGTTCGGCCTCCCTCCAAGGCCAACTACCAAGAGTCCCACCACAGCTCTCATCACTCCTCGCACCATTCCTACCACTCCGTGAGCCGATCGCAAGCCGGCAGCACCGCCTCTTCCAACCGCACTGCCCGCCAGGTTCCTCTCCCTGAGGGATCCATTGCCTCTTTCGCCTCCTACCGCAGCGGTGCCAAATCGGGCGTCTCCGCTCGTGAGGTTCCTCTTCCCGAGAGTGTCGTCGACCTCGACGTCCAGAGCCATGTCACTCCTGACGACTCGATCAGTCAAGTGGACGACTCCCGGCGGTCCTCCTACTCGCACCGGTCGCATGCTTCCAAGAGCCCTTCCAAGGTGTCGAAGCACTCCAAGTTCGACGAGCCCGTCAAGCCCAGCGACAGTGTCAGCCAAGTCTCTACCAACGTCTCCAGAGCGTCTCAGCGGACCATGAAGGCTGGTGGTAGTGGTGGTGGCGGCAGTGTCGCTCCGTCCAAGGCTGCCTCGAAAGTGAGTCGCCGAACTGCCAGCCAGGTGGCTTAGCTTCTGCACATTTTACATTCTTCTTTTCTCCTTATTTGAACGCAGCTTCACATGGCTGTGATAATTACACCATCATATTTGCATTACAAACCTTGTATGTGAGGCACAACTGTTACTCTACTACTACATTTTTACATATTGGTTTGGGGAAAGCATGAAACCTGGCGTTTGATTTATATGTTATTCAATGGGTTGGTCGTGTTCTTCAGATATATTTCGTTGGCATTTATCTGCGATTATATACTATACTATACGTACAGCATAAGAATGTTTGAATCTCTGCATTTCACATCTTTCTATCTTGCATGAACATTAGTTGTTGCTCTAGCGATCCGGGGGGGGGTCAGTGTCAATCTGCATTAGATAGGGCGAAGAGATTTGATAGGATGCATGCACATAGATACCACAGGGAGGACTGCAAGACTACCTTCTAAATTTTCTTTTATCCTAACAGATAGCAGCATTCATTATCATTGATCGCGTAGCTCGGAAAAGTAATATGTTCCGACTGTCCTACAAAGAGCTCTCTCTCTCTCATTGAAGAATACGTAACATTGCCATGAAATGTAGGTACTACCACCATATATCTACTAGTATCTGCTCTCTCAAAAATTTTCTTTAAAGCTGTGCTTAGCATAGTACTTATCCCCTATCTGTCTATCCACATCATTCGCTCTTCTCGAATAACCTCTAAAAAGAATTTATGGTCTGCGACCAGTTTTGAAGCATTAGTGCTATTAAGTATATTTCAGTTGCTGTCAAGTCACAGCTAGCTTTTGGATTAATCTTCTCGGTGCGGAAGGGTTATAAGGCACTAGTACTTGGGCTTCTATGCCGAGGCAATATACATTTGTGATTCACCAGATACTATAAATGCGTGTCATGTGCACTTTCTAGGCTGCATAAGTAATGAAGAGTAGCCAGTATTAGATGTAAGAGACTATGTAACACAGACTAAGCAAAACTACATAACGAGAAAGCAGAAATCAACAACAGTACAAGAATATGACAGGACTTCCCAAATTGAACGAAAGACTTTCAATAGCTCCTATATCGGCATCAAAAACCTTCCATCAATAATAAGCGCAACCGTTCCCAAAAACACATTGTATATGTAAAACCTGAACAAAGAATAAGGGCTGCAGATCATGATTTTAATTACGTCTGCCAATCCTTTGCATACATATAATCAAGTGTCGTCATATAGAGGCTGTATGAATCAAGTCTTCTCAAATCCGCCGTCTTGTGACTCGGCAGGAGGCTTCTGTTTGTAACGGAACTTGGAGGTACCATCTTCGTGCAGATGTCCCGTTCCTACTCTCCTCTTCGATTCATCAAGGAACTTGATGGTAAGAACCTGCTTGGGATCGGTTTTGTCTTTGTGGGATGTATGGAATTCGGTTCCTTCAATGCTCGCATACTTGATCCGAGGATCCTGCAACAATTAGCATGAGATCACAGTAGAAGAGCCAAGTAGCCTACTCACCCGTTTCTCTTGATCGCTACAGTAGGTATCAACAAGAGTCGCGTGGCTTGGGTTTGGGAAGTCGTTCAGCGAGCACTTGCCGATGTAAGAGATGAATCGGCGGATGATTCTAGACATGCCAACAAGTATTGAAGATGGGTCAAGCAATGGAAGGAATTATAGTCAGAATATGCAAAACAGGATATATAAGAGATGTAGCTGGAATATGAAATGAACATTGTTATTGGACAGACAGGCGAACTTGGCCATGTTATATACCTTTCCTTGCCCAGTAACTACTATTCTTAGCCTTGCGCTGGAGTTTAGGGAACTCGTCGCGCTTAGAATATCCGAGACCTGAAAGGAGCCCATATTCCTGGCGGTCAAAGCAAGAAAGGATGTTCAAGCAGCTGTTTGGCTGTCTTGCGTTCCTCTGGCATCCACTTCAACATAGAGGTAATGAACGCCAAAAATAACTCTTTCTCGTCACCAGCAAGACGCTTCTCCAGAACATCGAGTGAAACTGCAGGTACTGGCGCTTCATCATGAGCAATCCAGCCACCTAGAGCCATGTCAGCCTCGGCGTCAATTGAGAAGTGAGGGGGAGTGTGTGCAATGAGGAGCGGGTACTAACCGCTGGAGTCGAAGCACTGCTCTGTCGTCTCGCTGCGCCGCACAAACTCGCTCGGCGGTGGCCCAATCAAGGCTACCATGAGGGCCAGGTGTTTGAACGGATCATGACCACCTCTGGGATCGAAAATATCTCCGAATAGATGCTGCCCCTCGAACAAGTCCCAAATCTAAACCCAGGATCAGCAAGGAAGGCAGTGCAGCGGCAAGAAACGGCGAGTAGCGGGCTAAACTTACGAGGCCTGCAAGGTTCCAGATATCGATGGCGCTTCCCCAAGGCATTTCGAAAATGACCTCTGGCGCTCTATAGATATGTGGTTGAACGAAAGGTCCCGACTCTTGTGTCTTGCCAATCCTTGCCTCGCCAAAATCGCATAACATTGGCAGTCCGTAGTTTTTACCTCCAGTCGGCTTGCGAAACTTTCGACTGGTGTAGATTATACGTGACTGGTCAATCATCTTGCGGGGGCTTGGGTTTATAGACTCCGCGGTTGCGAAGTCTGCCAGCATAGAGCTGTCTTCCAGACTGAGCATCAGATTGTCCGTCTTCAAGTCTAGTTAGTAAGTCCATGTCAGCTCAAAACCATAGACGTCCGCAAAGAGGCATAAGGTCTTTCAGTACCAGTATGAATAACGTCGGCCTCAGAGTGCAAAAAATCAAGCGCTAATAAAAGCCGCTTGACAGTCATTTTAAGCAGAGGGAGGTCAAACGGCCTGGGATTCAATCTCAACATCTCAAGGAGGGTCATAGTCATGGGTTGCAGCACCAGGCATCGATGTGTACCTCCAGGGCCCTGGAGGTCGAACGAATCATACAGCTCGCGGATCAGTGATTGCCCTGGGTGCGAAGAAGAATCAACCCTAGTTAAGTGCTCATACACTCTCCATTCACGATCCGTCGCCGTAGGAGAATCTGGCAATGAGGTGGAGACCTTCAGTACCGTGTATTTATTGTTGACTCTTCGTCCATAGATAAGGTGTCAGAGAGCTCCTTCTCAAATTGGAGAATGGGGGAATAGTTGCGCACTGGAGATCTCGACACAGCCAACTCGTGGAGTATGCCCCATATCCGAGCTTTCCCGCAACTTCGTATCTGGTGTTATAGACATCGCCAATGTTGACTGGATAATAATGCGATGGTTGATAATATGGTAAGGTCTCTTCCTCGATTGGGGTTTCTGTAGGGAGACAATGCGCAACGCTACTGGACAGTTCCCTAGGTGACGGTCGCGTCCGCCGGAGGCTATTTGTGAAGGCTCTCAACATGAACGCCATTGAAATTCTACTGAATCTTCTCCGGCTCGCAATTAGATAAGGCAGGCTGAATCAGATGATGAGAGATGGATGAGGAAGGAACGACATCAAACAAAGCCGAGCGCCAAAAGATCGGCGGAAGGATGGCATGCGCCGAACTAGCCTCAGGCACGAAGATGAGATAATATATCGATTGTTCTAAAAAGGACTCCATTTCTACGCTCGAATATAAAAATATCCAGACTGAAATCGCTCTCCTCACCGCTCTAACTGTTCAAGGTACCGTTTATGATAGGCTTTAACTCAGTACCCAGAACCTTCTTTAGTAGTAACTACTATAACTAAGGTCTGTAAAAATGTGACTTACATAACATGAGGTAGTTCGTACTACTAGAAAGGCGCTCAGACGTATTGTAGTATGATAATATGATGTACAATAAAATGGTAATTCATGTTGATACTGAACACCTTGTCGGGGAGACATACTGGTTTAAAAGCCACTGTTGTATAGACTCGCATCATATTGTTCGAGTGACCGGACGTTTGATCTCTGGATCAAAGACTGTGATTACACCGCCAGTTTGAGTCCGGCTACTATGCATCTACAACAGTTGATGGTATCACGATCCACTGGTAATTGGTTCCTGCTAATGGTTCCTACTGATTGGTCCTACTGAAGAATACAAGCCACCAAATCCCTTACCAGCAGCATCGCCAATTAACCAACCCTCACTTCCCTCATCTCCTCTCCTCATCCCCAGTTATCCATTTCCACCACCCAGAGGCTTCAGCCTCACGACCGTACCAGTACCCAGCATCCTCCCCTCAACCCCGACCCGAGGAATTATCGAACCACACCCTTCCTGGGGCCTTATGTTCATCAGGTAACATTTATCCGACTCCATTGAGTGAAAATAAAAAATGCCATGAATGCATAATGAGAAGTGGTCATAATGATCGTTGGATATGACATTTCCCCCGCAAATAAAAAGGAGAAAGCGAAAATAAGGGGGTAAACGCGGAATTCCAGACACACGCAAATAGTTCACGGAGAATAACAAGGAAAGGATCTACGATCACGGTACGCCAGGCTTCGGATCTGATCTAACGGAGTGAAAGAAGACGCAGAAGCGGATTGGGAAGACCAAGGTGGCCGTGGAAATTGAATTGCGAAGATCAGATGGCATATTTGCGAGTCCATTCCCGCGCGGTCGCTTCGTACCGGGGACGGTCCGTCTTGTACACGTGAGCAATTTCCGGCACCAACGGGTCGTCGGGGTTGGGGTCTGTGAGCATGGAGCAGATCGAAAGTAGCACTGCAACAGTCAGTATATACGTAAACAGCGTCTGTAGGCAGAGAACATACCCTTCGAGATTGTGAGGGCAGGACTCCACTGGTCTCTGAGGATGTCAAGGCAGATGCTGCCGTTGGCGTTGATGTTGGGGTGGTAGATCCGAGTGGTGAAGTTGACCTTCGGGGGCTTGAATGGGTAGTCGGTGGGGAAGTGGATGTTCAGGAAGAAAACACCTCCTGAGTAGGGGGAGTCACCCTGGAAGTCGGGTTAGCAAATGATACTCCAAGATAGCAAGGCTGAAGACGCCGTTGGGTGCCGCAAGGTCCTCCCAACAAAGGAACAAAGACACTTGCTACATCCGGACGTCACAGAAGAAATCCGGGTATACTCACAGGACCCATGATAGTTGCTTGCCAGTGGAACTGTGCAGCAAACCGTTGTCAGTATTCATTTCAGGCATTATGTCGTTGATAAAGAGGTCTGAGGCAAATCTGCGTTGGACTGCCCCGCCGCAGTCGGCGAAAGCGGCAATGCGACCGTGTGCAACGAGGGGTCGGAGGGGTGAAACCATACCAGGTCATCTCCGGAAGGACCAGCAGAGCAAGAAGAGGGGGGATCACTATAAAATGAAGACAACCACGTTAGCATACTTCTATACATGCCCTGGCAATGCGTAATGACACAGGCGCTGTCTGGCGGAGGGTAGACGAACGCCCCGCGGCTGTGGTGGGGTGTAACACCAGGCGGCGGCAAAGAGGCAGGCGAGGGGAAACAAGATGATGAGGACAAGTCTTACCGGCCGAGGTCAGTGAGTTCCTTGTTAATTCTCTTGAGAGCCATGGCGAATGTGTGATGTGTAAAGAATGGAGAGGATCTCCTAGGTTAAAAGTGCAAAGCGAGTGGTATCGAACTTGAAGGTGGAAATCTGCACACGATTTCTCAGTCAGCACAACGGCGAGATATGTAAGAAGAGAAGAACAACGACAACGACGAACAGGGGCAAAGAAGAAGACGACTAGCAAAGTCGACTAGACTGGAGGGGGAAGTAGAGAGGGGTTGAGGATGGAATGGAGGAAGAGACTCACCGTGGGCTGATTACGTCGGAAGACGAACAGGAAGAAGAGGGGGAATTGGGCTGAAGGAGAAGAGGAAGAGAGAGAGGAGAAGAGAAAGAAGAGGGAAAGTCAGTCAGTGGACGGGAAGAGCGAGAAAGGGAAAGGCGGGCAACCCAGCCCAGTCACCAGCCCCTCTGAACCCGTATTTACCGGTTATTACCGACTGATTACTCGGCTTATTTAATCGGGTTTGCCTTAGTCAGGCGTCCGTCAGCCACTGTTGCGCCACACCCTCCCTCTCCTTCCATCGTCATTTCCCAATCCAGTCGGACATTCTAGATGCATCATCCTGCTTCTGCCGATTTTGCTGCTTCCTCTTCTTTCCAATATTGATCATCCAATAGTTGAAGACCCAAATATAGGCTATTTTTTCCCCTTATGAATAATCTAAATGACACACGGCACTCCCCGTCATCACCAACATCGTCATCATTCCCAAGTCAGCCCTGATAATATATCCACCTCAACCGCCCCTCCCTCCCTTCTTCCATTGTCAGCCACACCTTCAATTTCGGGTCCCTCCCAGACGGGTATCAATCGGACGGTGGACAAAACCGATAGGCTGAATGGTTACCGGCAGTCCGCTCACTTTGTACTACGTACTACCGTTGTTTGCCCATTTGCAATGTTGGTTCTGCCCGTTGACTGGGTCAATATTATCAAGAATAATGGATCTCTTTTTTTTTGCCTTTTTTTTTCTCCCTTGTAATATAACTCGTAATCTATCACTCACATCTTCACCTATTAGGCTATTACAGTTAGATGACTAGTCTATCTATCTATGTACTTGTGGGATAGTGACTACTTCAAGTGCATGCATACCGGGCAAAGCATATGACTTCCTAAAAGATACTCCGACTTATATTAAGGTAGTATACCGATCCTGCACCCCTCTTATTCTAGCAGATATACTATACTATACAACAAGATAGATACTCATATCTGTGCCACCCAACCAACACCCCACAAAATGAATCTTCCATCAGATCCATTTCTTTCCCGGCGGCAGTGGCAACGGCAAGTTGCAAACTACTTACCCTACTTTGTAGTTAATCAAACTCTTCCCTACTGACTGTACTTCCTTTCCATCCCCACATCCATACTACGTACACATGTAGTAGATAGATCATACACCTCCCCTCTTCGGCAACAAACAACCAACCAACCCCCTCTTAATAGTACTCCGTATTAAGTGAAACACATAATTCTATTCTTTAAACTTTCTTCTTCCCGAAGTTGCACCAAACCTTGAAATCTACAACTAAGTTTCTTTGTAGTCATTCTTCCACCATCGATCCGGATCTTTCATTGGGAGGCAAACCCGAAGTCATTACCACCTAAGGATTATGACTAACTTTACCCAAGTAACATAACTAAGTAACTCTTCCTGTTTGTAATCATGTTACATACCGTGCGGTTTGCGGGTGCCCTTGCCACGTGGCGCAGCATGGGCTTAGGTACTTGTTTCTCACGTGATGGGGAAGACTGTTTCTGGAAAGGGTCGATTCATACTTAGTATTACTATGTTTCACACTGTTAGGGGTAGATGTATGAGAGATATTCTGTGGGTAGGTAGTGCTTGGGATATGGGGTATGGTTGGGGTTATTATAGCCCCTGTGTTTGGATATTTGTGGTTGTATATGTACATGTATGTGTGAGGGTTTCATCAGGTAGGTAGGTAGATGAACTATGAGTTAGGGGTGGAAGTGTCTGCTCGTCTAGACGAATGCCTGGACGCCGGTGATGGCGCGGCCGAGGATCAGGGCTGGTTTTGGTTAGTCGCCATCCATACAAGAAACAGATGTTGCCTTCTGTGGTATACGATAATACTTACTATGAATGTCACTTTGTCCCTCGTAGGTCTGCACCACGAACAAGTTCGCTACATGCCGGGCGATATGGTACTCGTCACTCGTTGCGTTGCCGCCAAACACTTCTTGGAGACTGTAATAGGATGGATCAGCTTGCTTTCCTGCCAAAGGTTCTCATGTGGAGGGCATACATTCTCGAGTTAGCCAGAGCACGGTCACAGTTCTGTCTCTTGACCATCGAGATCATCTCCGGTGTGCACTTTCCGGCATCCTTAAGCCGGGCAACCTGTGTCGCAGCCAGTATGCCATACGCAGCATCCGTAGCCGCATCTGCCAGCTTCTTCTGAATGAGCTGGTACTTCGCCAGCGGGTTACCCTTGAACTGCTTGCGCTCGAGCGCATACGTGCGGGCACGGTTCAGGCAATCTTCGAGCGCACCCATAGCTCCAAAGGCAATTCCCAGACGAGCGCTGTTAAGGCAGGTGAAGGGACCAGCGAGCCCTTGAACCTCGGGGAACATGTTCTCCGCGGGAACAGGGCAGTCATCCATCTGGATCATACCAGTGATAGAAGCGCGCAGGGCAGTCTTGTTCTTGATGGCGGGCGTCTCCAGAGTACCCGGCGGGCATTGACTGCGTTCGACGACGAATCCACGAATCTTGCCCGTGGTCTGCAGCTTAGCCCAGACGATCATGATGTCGGAGATAGGGGAGTTGGTGATCCAGGTCTTGGTGCCAGAGAGCAAGTAGTATCCCTTCTTGGTAGGGTGCTCCCGGGCGACTGTCTCCATGGAGCCAGGGTCAGAGCCGTGGTTGGGCTCAGTGAGACCAAAGCATCCAGCCAGTTTTCCCTTTGCCAGCTCGGGGAGGAAGCGGTCCTTCAGCTCCTGTGTACCAAAATCATGGATTGCTGTCATAGCTAGAGAGCTCTGCACAGACATTCCTGAACGGTAACCCGAGTCCACACGCTCGACTTCCTTCGTGATCAGACCGGAGGCCACGGTACTTGCGCCGGCGCAACCATACCCTTCAATGTTTGCGCCAAGAAGGCCGAGTTCGCCCATCTCGGTCAGAATCTGGCGGTCATAGTTCTCGTTCCGGTAGGCATCTAGTATGCGCGCACATATTAGCCATGATCCACCACATGAGTATTTCCCTCGTCGCCGTAAGGAGTGGCGGCCGTACCTAGAACTCGGGGTAGCAGGCGTTCCTGGCAGTACTGCCTAGCTGTGTCTTGAATAGCCAATTCCTCCTCTGTGTACAACTCCGAAGCGACCAAAGGATCCTCCCAGTTGAAAGTCGTAGCGTATCCACGGACCGAAGCATTGCGCGAAGTTGCGGGTGCTCGACACAGGCGGTGGAGGTGGCGCGAAGCCGTGCGGAAGCTGGATGGGTTCATGATGTGAGATTGTAGGCGCTAGTAAGATTATGAATAAGTGAGATGTATCTGTAACCAAGACAATATTAATTGGAGTGACCAAATGTCTGGGGATGCGACAGCCAAGGGATAGATGGTTCGGAGGTTGTTGCGGGGAGACATTCATCCAGGCACAACTTTCGGTGTCTCGGTTTCCCCCAACCTCGGCAATCCGTCGGGAAAGATTCATGCGAGCATTAAAACTTACACTAGGGATCACTCTAGCAATATACCAAACTGATTGATACTTTACTGGATTATAAAACAGACTCCAGCAGTAGATATGCTCCTTATATGCTTCATGATCATTGAACTTCCAACTCCCCAACCGAGCCGCGGGGACACTCTTCCGCGGCCGAGCTCGGCTTGCAGCCCGTTCCGTCGGCGTTGGCGCCCAATAACCGGCCCTCCTCGAGCTTGTATAGATAGAGCCCAGGCGGATATCTCGTTTGTCCGGCATTCAACTCAACAGATCGTGCATGTATACACTGGGTTCAAGGACGGTAATCTACGAGGAATACTTCGTCTACCCTACATTATTGTCCGTATTGTTCGTTATCTAGTATCAAGATGCAGCAATTGCCAGTCCAATTTGATGGAGAGCCTACTTTTGAGTCGATTAAGTGGACTTCTGTGTCCAGACCTTAAGACTGATTATTGTTAGGAAAAGGCTGATGCATTGACCAGATGTAACGGGGAATGGTAGCCGGCAAGCTACCATACAACGTCAAAGCCGACTGACTCGTTTCTGGATTGTATTTTGAATACTATATACACCATGGTAAACAACTGGTGCTTCGACTTATATAGTCCTCAGTAAAGACTGAAACACGCTGCTCCATACGGTATGCTCAAGCAGGCATCTGGGACTGAAGAAAATCAAACACCCCGGTCGGGAAGTAATCCTCATCAAAGCCCCAAAGATCAGCCATCATAGGGTCCACCGACCCTTCCGAGAGGCCTGTCTGGGCCTTCACCTGTGTCGCATCCGAGTCGAAGCTATTTCCTCTCTCAGCAGACAAGGGAGCGACTCCCAGCAATGGAGGAGGGGGGTTCAGTATCGTGTCCCGCTCTCCAAGGGGCTGAGCCCCGGGGATAACAACCGGTTTGAACATGGGCAGAGCATCATGAGAATTTTGTGTCAAAGACTGGGAATTACCAAGATTCCTTTTCTCCCATTCCTCCAACCCCGTGAGCATCTTCTTTAAGCCACGGGCTATATGGTGGCTGAGATGGTGCTCGCTTGCACGCTTACTGCACGAGACCATCATATTAACAATCCGCCCGACCAGCTCCCGCACGTACGCGACATCAATGTGCAGGCCGGCTGAAGAAATGGAATTCTGCTGGCCTTGGTTGTTGGGGATGCTGCTCGAGCAGCCCTTGGCCGCAATCTTCAGTAGGAATACGGCGGCAAAAGTGATCATACTGTGGAGGTACAATGGGACGCCAACCAGAGCTCTCTGTATATCGGGTTCATCAAGGACCACCCGAAGTGTGTCTATGGCGGACTGTATGGCTATATTCGCGCGCTTCTTTCGCTCAGCAGACATAGGTCGTGTCGATATCGAAGAGTGATAGGTCCGCAAAGCAACCGAATTCAACTGCAATCGTGAAAAATGATAATGCAGATTAACCGCTCTGTAAGGATATGCACCGACATATCGACTCCCGACTGCTTGTCGAGCCACATTAGCGAAATGTGCACCTAGACAATATACTGAGGAACAGAAAACGTACCCAAACGCGGATACCAGGCTATCCGCCAGTTGTCAAGGTCGGCGTCATATTTATCAATGGTAGAAAATTCGCTGTCGGGAACCTCCAAGTCGACATCGGGTCCAAAGGCGTGGTATATTCGGGTAAGAATGATAAACAGGTCGACCTGGCTGTGTAGACGCAGGTCA